GTTGCTAATGGGTTTTTACTAAAAGGACTTTTTGTTAGGAAAGCTTCAGTGGGTTAGTGTTGAAATGTTCAAATCTTGCATTGTGTGAATGGAAAAAGCATTTCAGAATTTGTTTTCTTTCTGGTGATATCTTAAGATTGTATCAGTTGAATAGGACAGGTGTATATGGTTACACCATGTTGTGGCAGAGTTGAATTTTAACATTTAATGTTAAATGTTAAAAAATGTAATATGTGTGTGTGTGTGTGTGTGTTACAGGCAGTGCTGCAAACAGGCGGGCAGTTGGAGCTGGAAGTGAGGCCTCTCTTTTTGGTTCCAGATACTAATGGATTCATTGATCACTTGGAAGGGTTGAGGAAGCTCCTTCAGTGTGGAACATACATAATAGTTGTGCCACTTATCGGTAAGACTGAGACAGAAACAAAGAAAAGAAATTAAAAGATGGTTATACTCTATTAAATGGTTGGAGGATTAAATTGAGTCGTTGTGACGTGTTTAAAATTATATGAATGCCCCGTGCACTCACGGTGTGATGTGTGTTCTCTCCCTCAGTCATTACAGAGTTAGATGGGTTGGCGAAAGGACAGGACAACTTTGGTGGGGGAATGGGGTCGGCAGGGCGCAGCACTGGCCTTCGCGGCAACTATAACGTCAGCGCGACCCATGTGCGGGCCGTGCAGGAGAAGGCCCGGTTGGCAGTGGCTTTCCTAGAGAAAGGATTTGAAGCCAGGGAGCCGTACCTTAGAGCCCTGACAAGCAGAGGAAATCAACTTGAGTCTATCGCATTCCGCAGTGAAGACAACTCTGGACAGCAGGTGAGAACCCAGATAAATGTAGCCCAAACTGTTGGAAATAATAGAACATTACTACTTACACCAAATACTTGTACTGTTTTTTTTAGTAACTTAGGTTTCTATTCTTCCTCAGGGTAATAATGATGATGTGATTTTGTCCTGCTGCCTCCACTACTGCAAGGACAAGGCAAAGGATTTCATGCCTGATCAGAGAAGTATGTAACATTGACTGTCAGTGTTCATGTCCTCACACACAAGCAGAGACTTACAAACTCTTACTACTCTTTGTCCCCCCCTCCACACACACAGATGGGACAGTGAGGCTCCAGAGGGAGGTGGTACTCCTTACAGATGACCGCAACCTGCGTGTCAAAGCTTTGACCCGCAACGTCCCCGTCCGAGACATCCCTGCTTTCATCAGCTGGGCCAAAGTGGGCTGAACCATGCTAAGTTGGAATCAAAGGAACCCAACTGCTGAAGCCTGCTTGCCACTCAGCCAGGAGAGGAGACGCACTTAAGCAGAGGAAGGGGGAGTGGAAATGATAAAAAGCCAAGAACCACTTCTTATGAAATATAAGCAAATGTAGTGAGAGCAGGGTGGCTTCAAAGAGCTTTTCCCCCCTTGTGATGAAGTGTGTGTGTGTGTATGTATGTGTTAAGATCAGTGAGCTTCCCTGGAAAGAGACGAGGGAGACTTAACAAGTCTCAGGAAGGCTGGATTGGATACAGTAAGGAGGTAAAAAATTGAGTGATTTGATTTGGAAGTTGTCTGGGCCAGCCTCGAGCCTCTGCTCATAGTGAGTGAGTGTACTCTGCAAGCAAGCGGTATTCAAATTTGAGGCTAATGATAGAATAAGGCAGAGAGAGAGACAGTGTGTTAATGGTCGTTTAATTGATTAAAGACAGCAGTAATAGAGGCCATAACTGGCACTTGTACACCTCTCTGAGGGCCCAGTCGTATTTGACTGCTTTGCCCTCTACAGCAGAGCTGAGAGAAATGTAGGCAGAGGACAGCTGGAGGGTCTTAGTCAGTACAGTAAAAAGTGGCTGACCCTTCAGTTGGACACAACCTCAACACCTTCAGTGCAGGTATGGTATTTCCTGCTAACCCGGGAAGTGCTTAATGCCTGTTTTGGGTTGTTCCTCCAGCTTGATGCTAAGATTGGTAGAAGTTTGGGTATTGTAAGAAAATGTTTTTAAAAAGTCAACAAGAAGAAAACATTCATTATTATTTATGTTCCTGTTGCTTTTACTTGTTTTTGAACTTGTGTAAAATGTTGTTTCCTGCTTGGAGGCCATATCTCCATTTTGTAGACTGATAATAAACACCTGCAAAGTTTCCCTGTAAATGGCATTAACCATAGGTTTTGGGGTTTTAAAACAAAATCAGATCTGGATGCAAATGATTGATTGTTTTTGCACCTAACAAATGCGTGGTATTTAATATATCAAGGCTTTTGTCCTTAGAATATCACTTGAGAATATCGAACAAAGATTAGCAAATTCTGTTTGATCCAGGTCTGCCTTAGACGGCCACAATGTTAGGAGATGGTTTGGTGACTTTGCAGATGCTTTATTATCGAGTGCCATTGGTGACACTTTATTTTCTAGTAATCTTTACACTCATATCAGTCTTTAGTGCTTTTCAGTTAAATACCACCACAACAGTCCAATTCATGAAATGTTTTTAATCAATATATATTTTTTTTTTAAGGTCACAGATCCACTTTTCGCCACTTCCACTATCCACTCAGTTGAAATAAAATACATGAGGTAAACCAACATAAAATCCAATTCCAATACCTCACCGACACATTGTTAACAAACATTTAACACAAACGTGGTTATTTGTGTTTGCTTGCTCTACATTGCTTTGGGAGATCCTAAGTTATGTCAGTGTTTGTTTCTGTGTGCACTTGATGGTGTCTGGATGTTCAAAATAGATGTAATCTGTACCTGTATTCTCTGTTATGCTACGTCATACATAATTTATCATACACTCATCAGTTTGATCATACGGATTTAAAATAATTCTGTGTGTAGAAATGGCAACCTTGCTTTCTATTTGTCCTGTAACTTCTCAGTAAGGCTCGTACGACTTCTGTCAGCAGTTGATGTTTCTGTATTTGTGTCAACAGCCAGACGATTTAATTGTTTTTTCAGCTCCTCTGATCTGGTGCTACTGTAGTGTTCAGTACAATCTACTGTGTTAAGTGGCCCTTCTGCAGTGTTTTAGTGTTGGAGCAAATGTAGTAAATACATAATCAATTTAACACCAATTACTTTCTCATCTTCCATCATTAAAATGTTTTGAAGCCATTGTTTAATGTTCCTCATTAATGAGCAAATGAAGAGTGTGGTATTCATATTTAATACCATATAACTTTTTAGAATCACTGGATATGTGAAGGTTTGTACATTTAGATCACTAATTGAAAAAGTGTTGAAATACTTGACACATTAAAATGTGATAGTCCATTAATAAACCCTGATAATCAAAATTATTACAAGAAATGGCAAAATACATATTACATGTAATCTGCAGAAAGTTGTATCTCTAAATCATCAGCGTACTGTACGAAAACCTTTCCACGTGTGCCCTCATGTGGTTGTTGAAGACGACAGTGGTGGGAGTGAACCGAGGAGCCAGTGTTGAGTTCTGAATGTACTTTAATACAGGGAATATGTTGATAAATTGATGAAACAGACAAACACGAGAACATGTATAGGTCAGCCATACTATAATGATCAAGCTGACATCAGTGGAAAAAACAAAAGTCTAATGGCCATGATCATCTAGACCGGTTCAGTCCTGATATTCTAATATTCAGGTTGATATCTATAATATTTAAAATCCCAGAGCAAGGCCCACAGAGTCAGTCGGTACCAACAGCGTAAGATCAGCGCTATCCTATTATTCACTGTTACATGATATAACTCACTCTTCTATAACAAGCAGCTACTGTTAATTCTCAGCATGTAACAACTATACACAAACACCATCATCACAAACATACTCAGTTCTAGTTTGAATAAACATCACTGGTCACACTCGGGGGAGGGGGGGCATTTTTATTTATGTTACATTTGTGTGTGTCAGGGACAGAAAGTTCTGCAGCCTCTCCATCCATTTCATTTGCTCTCGGTATACTTCTGCGCCTGGATACAGACCACACAGGCAGGACCTGATTCCCATCATCATGACAACAGGGCTACCGAGCAACCAATCAAAGCCCTCTGAGCCCTGCTCTGCGAGCTGATTGGTCTCTCAGCCTGCAGCCTGTTGTGGAATGCCCATCTTTAACCTCTCTGCTGCCATGCACACTGCATACATCCCATATTTCTCTTGATGCAGATTACACCTACATGTTTAATCATCCGAGATATGGCGTCACGCGTACTGACGTGATACGTTTTTTTCACGCCAGGACTAGAGCATCTTCATGAAAAGTATGAATATAGAATATATTGTGTGAGGTGTGAATACAGAAAAACAAAGGCCTCGGCTACATAAATGGTCACTCGCACGCTTCCCTGATGTCAACATAACAGGATGAAGAAGTGACACTGTCGCAACATCTGTAGCACATCAATGGATTTATCAGTTGCCAAGCTGTTGAGCCCCCCCTCTGAAACTATGTATGCACTTTACATAGTTAAACCATGCTTCATATTATATAACCACGTAATAACAGGTCATATCGCTCCAGGAATATAGGGTGTTGTACTCATCACATGCTTTCATAGATGTTCCACAGGGTAAAAACTGACATGTCCATCATTAGGTAATTATATTTATATATATATATGTTCTATATGTTTCCTGTTCACTAGAATAAATGATGGTGTTTTCTCATCCTAATGTGGACAATGAGTGATGAACAGCACATTGTGGTACCTTGGAGATATTTCCTGACATCTTGGGAATCTCTTGTTATTGTTCTGGGATACATAAGACAGTTTTTTAAACATGGTCTGTGAGTTAACGACAGGCTATTTATAGCAGGGGCCAGATTAAGACTGAAACTGTTAATCAGGTTAGGAGCTCAGTGACTGAAAGTGCATAAGGCCACACACACACACACACACACACAGGGAAAAGGGAAAAGGGAAATGTCCATTACTTGGTTACTCACAGCTATAAAATGGACCAGGGCACTATGTTCTGTTTACAGTCATTATGTGTATGGTGTTGTGCATCCAGATCACACACACACACACACACACCTATGCTTGCAGTTGTTGGATGGCACAGCAGTACACAGATTAGGGAAGTGGTGGTGGGGTGGGGGGGCAACATTTCCCCTGTAGGCTACAGCTCGACAGCAAGACTCTCCAAACCTGTCACATGTGTAACTCTCGCCTCAGTCAACGCAAACAGTGCGAGCTCCCCGAGCCTGTGCCTTTTTGTATTTATTTATTTTTTTCTGTTTACATGAATTTGCTCCTTTATTCCTTCACGACTGGAAGGGAGGTGATTCTCCTCGGCCGCCATTTTTAGGGAACTGCCTATCGAAGAGAGAAACTTTGCTGTCTGATCGTTAGCAGATAGCTGGTTGGGCAGCTCGTTGTGACAGTAAACGCCTGACAGTCTGCAGCCAGGTTGATATAAATGATCCCTGCGGGCCGCCGGTGTGCACGACAGACACATCTGGTAGTGCCGAAGTGAACGCCTGAGGGTCGACTCGCAGTCAGCGTCGTCTTTATATCGGCTTTCAGAGCAAATGTGCGATTAGACAGGCGATTTAGCATTGCTAACTTATTAGCTTTGATTGCCTCGTCTGTGATTCAGCGGCTGTGTTCATGGTGACCGGATTAATCCGCCGCTCGCACACCGCCCCAACCTGCGTGGATTCATCTCGACCAGGTGAGTTGGTCGCTCGCTGTAGCTTTGTGCCGACGCCAGGTTTGCTCAGCGGACATCTGGATGTCAGCACAGGTTAGCCTGCGAGCTACCCAGCTGGATCTGGTTGCTACTCGCCAGCTAAACCAAAAGTTGTTATAAGTTGTCCGGTTCGTCGCATCGACAGATTTTAGTCCGCCTCACCGGGCAACTTCACTGAGCCCTCGGGGTGTGTGTGGTGTTTGTTCTGAATGCCAGTGTCAACACAAAAGCGAGTAATGTCAGTGTAGGGAGCAGCAGCAGCAGCGGGGAGCCGATGGTGAGTGTCTGGTTTGTTGTTAATAAAAATGCTAACATCGCTTTAACGTCACCCGAGGAGCCTGAGCTAGCTGCGTTAGCTCGCTAATCCGCTTTATGCAACTATCGTTAAAGCAGTGCCACTCCCTCGGTTTGTTTGTGTCCACCGTGGCTGCACGTTTCAGGGGGGACACTCACGCTTCGTGAAGGGGGGCTGTTGTTTTTTTATTTTAAAGTTTAAATCTGTAAAAAGGGGACGCCATGAGTCACACACTGAGTGCAGAGCTAGCAGTGTGACGGTAGGTGACATTGGTCGAGCCTGTTTTCCATGTCTGTCGCACGTCTACGTCCTGACATTGTGTTTACAAGCAGCATTAGCCGGTTGGGGCTCCGACTAATCACCGTGGTCATCGCGGTGAAAGCGACAGGCAGAGCCCGCATCCGTCCGCCGCGGATGGTTGTTTTTGTGCACTGGCGTGAGTCGCATTCCTCTGTTTTTCTGTGTGGATGTTGCGTAACGCTGGCCATCACTCAGCAAGCCACTCTTCTGCTTTGGCTCGACTGTTTTATCTGTGACTTCGCCGCTGAACTCACGCATGACACACACACAGGCACACACTGGTTTAACACGACACTTTCAGATGTGGTTGAGTCGCAGGTAACGTCGGTATACAGTTGACCCCAACCGAGACATTGAGTGAGTGAAGTGTCACATTGGATGTCCAAGGCTTTTTGATGGATGATGCACATCCCAGCACCTACACGTTTTGTGTGCTGGCTCTTTTTTGTTTAATAAGCATTGCAGTACAGTATGAGCAGTCCACCCTGTCTTTGTTTATGGCTTCAGACCGTCAGTGTTATACATGCAGCTTATGGGCAGGTACTACTTGTCCTCTTCCTCTGGTATCACAGATTCCTTGCTATCCTGGCCTGTCCTCGCCTCCCTATGTTCTCTAACCTGTGCTGATCTGCACACCTGTCATCTGTTCGTTGGTGTCTCTGCATGCGTTCACAGGCTGGAGCAGCTCCCCTTCTTTACTTTCAAGGACTTGCTGCTAGCTGATGGCGAGAGGTACGCAGCTGTTATTGACCGTGTACGTCTCGGGGCAGGACAAACCTTTGCTAAGTTGTGTTTTCCTGTGTGCCAGTGTTATATCAGGGGGTGCTGAATATGGGCGCACTGCATAATGGATTTAAGTGTCTCCCAGGAAAAATGGATTAGACACTGGAGCAAAGCCTGAAAGTCTAGATCCAAGTCCGTCAGCGACTGCAGCACTGCCACCATAACTTTATTTGTTAATGATTTGAATTATGTAATGTTACTTTAGGAGCAAAGGCGTACTGATTGCAACGCGACAGTGATTTTATTATATGGGACTTTATTGACTAACCTGACTGGCAGCAGTATCTATGTAAAAAAAGTAATAAAGTTATGGTGCTCCTCCTTTAAAAGGAGTTCCTAAGCATCTGCTCGAGGTCTTTGATTGACACCGGCTGCTGAACAGTTGGAAACCAATAGACACATTAACACTTTATCGTCATAATGTTGAATTAATTCCAGCTTTTAACGGTCGAAATAATTCTGTGCCAAGTCCAAGTTACTCCTATATGTAGTCGTGCTACTGTCTGATATGAGATGACTTTGTAAACTTGGGTGTTTGGATGCTTGTATGTCTTGTCGAAGGTGCCACAGAGACATCGTCTTCTCTTTTTTTTTCACCCAAGTGTCTTTTGTTCAGAGGAATCTCGGTATGTTGTTGTTATTAGTGACATTTATCCCAACAGGAAGACTGTAACTGGAGCTCTGTGAGTGAAACGGGATGGGTCAAATCCTCTTAGTGTTTGGTCACTCCATTCCTCTCTTCTGTCACCATCCTCTCCGTCGCACCACAAAGCGGGATGCGTTGTTGTTGTTGTTGTTGTTGACACCGGGTAGCCAGAGAGCTTTCACTTCCTCCACTCAGTGAAAAGCCACAATCTGTAATCAGTCTGGGAAGCAGGAGCACGGACACCCCACCCTCCATCTTGGAGGATAGAAACAGTCTGCAAGCCGTCCGAACAACAGCGCACATAGAGGTCATGAAGCTAACATTGTCTCTGAACAAACAGTTGTGATGTTGTTTTGGTTGATGATCTTTAAAGTAGGGTTGCACCTAACAAATCTTTTCTCTCCCAGCAGCTGAATCCAGTAGCTATACTCAGTCAGATTATATACTACTTCACTTCATCTTTTTAAAACCTGAACACCTCAAAGGACCCGATCGGGCCATTCTTTTCTGTTTAAGGTGGCGCAAGGGTGTACATCATTTCTGAACTGTGAGTGGAGATGTTCTTCTTTTAAGACTTTAGTTGTTGTTATAATGCTGCATTGCTACAGTTTGACAGAGAGAGAGAGAAAGTATTTCATGTGAACTAGTTACATCTGGTTGATACACGATCATTTAATATGATGTATCAGCTCAGTGCATTCCTGCTTTGAATTATTTAGCAATACAGCATTTAGTATCTTGCTGAGGACATTTTGAAAGTGTATGTATGAAAGTGTGTCTATATATATATGTAGTGTGTGTGTGTGTGTGTGTGTGTGTGTGTGTATAGCAATCCAATCCAATCATACAGCTTTCATTTTCTGTTGAGGTGTGTATGTATTTGTGAAATGAAGCAAATCGCTTTTGCTGAGGTCAGCTCCACGTTTCTAAAAGAATCATAACGTAGTTCAGCCTTAACAGGTGCAACCAAACCAGGAGAGTCAGGGAGGAGTCAGTCATGAGGCCGTAAGGAGGCAAAATCAGCTGAAATAACTTTTAAAAAGGAGGTATAGCATGGATGTAACGAGGTTCTAAGTAATTAAATCTGTTAAATGTGGTGGCTGCAGAGCGGGGTGCTTTTGGAGAAACATTAATAATTGTAGCTTTCCGATACAGGACCTGAGACAATCGGCTATTAGGTTTAACAATAATAATGGTAAATTGTATTATGTAGTTGTAAGGGATTTAAAACCGCTAAATGTAACAGACCTGTGATAATTGTGTTAGGTTTTAATAAGCCTTTCCTGGAATCGGTACACGTCTTCCCTCTTTCGTACACGTTTTCTCTGCATTTCGATAAACCAGCAAACAGCAGTGTTGCTCCGCAGCCGATCCTCTGTAGCCGACCCTGTGCAGCTAAGAGAATTTTACTACTGCGATCAATAAAGTATTTGATTATTTATTATCCCTCTCCAACCCTCTCTTGCTCTTCCTCTCCGCGACACCCCTCGCTGCTCAGCCTTTGTGTAGCGGTTGCCTCTTCATTAGGGCTTCTCTGTGATTTTTTTACAGCGCAGAGGAAATCAATTAATACATAATACAACAAGAGAGAATCCATTTTCTCGAGCAGTAAAGCAAAACAACTTTCGGTGCATTTCTTGAACACACTGGTCTTTGTGATGTTGTGTGTGTGTGTGTGTGTGTGTGTGTGTATCATGCAGTCCAGTCCATCTCTTGCAGAGTCAGTCTTGTGACTTGGTGTTCAGTGCTCTGTTTCATTGTGTCTGTGTGAGAAAGAGGGAGAGGGGGTTTGTATTTTTGTTTTTCTTCCTACACCGTATTATCTAGGCTATTAGAAACGTATACACAGTCCAACTTAAGTCAAGAGTTGTGTAGTTTAATCCCTCTAAGACTAAACGAAGTGCCAGGGAGTGTGTGTGTATATACAGTATATAATGGTGTCTTACTGTTTTTTTACCTCATGCTGCGCCATTAAAACGTCAAGCTAATAAACATTACAGCTCCACCATCCTGTCCTGTCGTCAAGGAAAGCTGCCATTCTTTCTTTAAATCATTTTTTTCTTTTTGAGTTAACACTCCCTCCCCATGTTTGTGCCATCGCGTTATCCACGTTCAAAAGGAAATCCAGTTAAGGAACCAAGATGCTCTTTAAAAAGAGTTTTCTTGTTCATTAGTAAGCATCTCCAGTCCACTGAGCCACCGTTTGTAACGATGTGACTCATTCAAACCTATTAAAAACAAAATATTCATGATTAGTATTGGTTAAAGGAAACAGTGAAGGCAGCCAACATTGTCTGAACCAAATCTCACTGGAAACAAGAATAATGAGAATCGTCAAATGTGTCTGTCTACATATTTATGGTCCCCGTGCATTTGTCTGTTTTAAATTGTAAGTCAAGTGATTTTGGTTCTTTCGTAATGAAAAAGATACCAGAGTCATTACAGTGGCAACAGAGGGGAGAAGCTCAACAGACCTTTTTCAAATACAGGTGTAAATAATATGATTATTAATTGCTGCATTACATTATTGTTATTGACTTTGACTTTGAAAAAAAAAAGATTAGTTCCTCTGGTGCTTTTTCTGCTATAAAATGTCAAAATCAGTGAAAAAAGTCCATGGTCTATTTATTTGGGAACAATAAAGAAACAAGCTTTAATGCTGACAAGGCTATCAAGGTTTGGGTTAGCAAGATTTATTAAGACATAATAATGAGTGGGAACATATTATACCTCGCTCTCTACTCCACTTTTGTGTAAGTTTTTAACCTACATTTTTCATTTAAAAACACAATGCAGTTCATGTTTCTTGACATTTGTTGTTCCTTTTTTTTTCTATTTTTAGTTTCCCCAGTATTACTGATATAAATCAAATCAATTTACACATCAGGTGTAAAATGAACCACTACTCTAACGTCCAGGCAACACACTTAGCATTTTAGCATCAGAAAAACATCACTA